TGCCATGCTATGTCATGCTGTGCCACACCGTAACACTGATCCATGCCATGCGATGCCATGCCATAGCACACCACATGTGGGTGCAAGCCCAGCTGCATCGGAACGTACCCTATATCTCCCCCACATCTTCCCCCCTCTGCAACCACATGCACAGGCGCATGGCATGTGGGTGCATGTGGACGCAGCGTATGCAGGCATGGCATGCATGTGTGCTGAGATGCGGCACCGCCTGGCAGGCGTGCACCTGGCCGACTCACTAGCGTCCAACGCCCACAAGTGGTTGCTCACCAGCTTCGACTGCTGCTGCATGTGGACGCAGGTAGTGCTGCATGTGGACGCAGGTAGTGCTGCATGTGGACGCAGGTGAGTATGGCCAGTGGGAGGGGAGGTGGGAAACCGGTGGGAGGAGTGGTGCGCTGCAAAGCGGCTGTGGGCAGGTGGTTTGACATGGTTGCGGTGGTGCTGCTGGGTGGGGAATGTAGCTTCTCTATGTAGGGGCAGACGGTCCCCTTTGTGTTTGCGCTACATGCACTATCACCCACTCCATTCTGCACCGCACTGCACCACTTTGCAACACACTGCGCCACAACCCGTTCCACCTCTCCATGTCCCCATGCCCATGCCCATGCCCATGCCCATGCCCATGCCCATGCCCATGCCCATCCCCATGCCCATGCCCCACCAGGACAGCAGGCCTCTGGTGAAAGCACTATCCATACTGCCGGAATACCTGCGGAACAAGGTGCGCTCGTATGCTCTGTAGTGCGCTGGTATGCTCTGTAGTGCGCTGGTATGCTCTGTAGTGCGCTGGTATGCTCTGTAGTGCGCTGGTATGCTCTCTAGTGCGCTCGTATGCTCTGTAGTGCTCATCGGAGTGAGCTCTTACTTTGCACTGTGCTCTTGTACGCCCTTATCACAGTATGCTCTTATCGCACCATGCTCTTTCGCAGAGTACTCATGTGCATCCACACACACACTACCTGCCGTGTCCTCGCCTCTCCTGTCCTCGCCTCTCCTGTCCTCGTCTCTCTCCCTGCATGGCAGGAATCAGAGAACCATCACGTGGTAGACTACAAGGACTGGGAGATCCCCATTGGCCGCCGCTTCAGGTGTGCCCCTCCCCTCCCCTCATGCACCTGCCTGCCATGGCTGCATGCAGTGGGTTTGTCTCATGCCATTTGCATACAATTCTCAAATCCCCGATCCATATTCATTTCAATTACTTCTCTCTGGCTGTTTTTTTTTTTTTTTTTTTCTAAGCCTACTCCCGCTCTGTCCAATTTGCTCACTACCATGCCAATGCCCATGCAATGTCCATGCACATGCAATGCCCATACCCATGCCCTTGCCCACGCCACAACCGCCACCCACCGCCCCTCCCTTGCAGGTCGCTGAAGCTGTGGATGGTGCTGCGCACGTACGAACCAGCTCCCCCCCTTCCTGAAAAGCCACCCCCCTCTCCCTCTCCCCCCACCCCCTCTCCCTCCCCCCCCACCCCCTCTCCCTCCCCCCCCCTCTCCCCCATCTTGAGCAGGTCGCTGAAGCTGTGGATGGTGCTGCGCACATACGGGGCGGAGGGGATCCGGGCGTACATCAGGCGCCACATGGCGCTTGCTGAGTGGTTCGAGGAGGCCCTGCTGCAAGATGATCGGTTCCAAGTGAGCTGCACTGCTCCATGCATCGCCTGTGCTACCCTCTCACACACCCACTCACACACCCTCTCATGTACCCTCTCATGTACCCTCTCACGTGCCCTCTCACGTGCCCTCTCACGTGCCCTCTCACGTGCCCTCTCACGTACCCCTGTTCCTCAGGATGATGCCACCTCTCTGTCTCCCCCAATGCCCACTTCCCCTGTGCCCTTCAGCTGATGGCTCCACGCCCCTTCGCGCTCGTCTGCTTTCGCCTCAAGCCGCCCGCAGCTCGCACACACAGCGGGGTGGCGTGCGGAGGGGGGGACGAGGGGGTGATGGGCGATGGCAGTGAGGATGCAGGGAGGAAGGTGAATGCGGCGCTACTAGAGGCGATAAACAGCAGCAGGCACGCGTACCTCACACACACTGTGCGTCCTGACCACGTTGCTGCATGCTTCTCCATTCCTTTAATTTACCACACACACATTCTTGAGGCTCCTCCTCAGAAGCACCTCACACACGCTGTGAGTCCCGCACCATGCTGCTGCGTGCCTTGTTCAATCGCCTGCATCTAAGAGCAGGGGGCACTTGACCCTTCAACCTGCCTCCCTGTCACCCCGTGCAGGTGCTATCGGGGCAGTACACACTGCGCATGGCAATAGGGGCGGTCAAGACAGAGATGGCGCATGTGCAGGCAGCTTGGAGGCTCATCCAAACGAAAGCTTCTGAGTTGCTGGAGGAGGTCAAATTTACTAGAAATAACAAAACAAACTTACTACAGTAAGAGATGCGACAGCAGGGTAAAGTTGCATTGGTGAATGAGCAGAATCTTGTGTAAATGTACCAAGTATGGACAACTGTGAACTTTGTTACAAATCAGTAGGGCAGGCCCAAATTATTAAGGTAAAATACCCTTTTTGCCCGGCGCGAGGTGGGGTGGTAAAACTGCCAGCCAGGCGCATCAGGGGGAAAGCCAAGGAAGACACAGGGAATGGCGCGGGAGGAGAGCTTGTCCGCGGACGTATTGCGGACAAAGGCACGAGAGCCCCAGACCCGGAACACCGACGCATCGCCAACCTTCCCCGTCCAACGTGTCAACGGGAGTGTTGTTCGGCCCCGTCCTCGCTTGGGCGGAGCCGACCTCGTGGTCGGATGTGCGGAGGTTGCAGCCGACCTGCAGCAGTGGGCACGGGGGCCACTGCAAGGGCGCCGAGCTGGAGGGCGCCTGGCTGGAGGGCGCCGGGCAGAAGGACGCCGTCCTGGACGCTTGGTCGGCGTCCTGGACGCCTGGTTGGCGTCCTGGAAGGCCGGACGCCGACCTAGGCGTCTGCACGGCGTCCTAGGAGCCTGGGACGCCGCTCTGGGCGTCCGCACGGCGTCCTGGAAGGCCGGACGCCGACCTAGGCGTCTGCACGGCGTCCTAGGACCTGGGACGCCGCTCTGGGCGTCTGCAAGGCGTCCTGGGCGTCTGGACGCCGGACTGGGGACGCCGGGCATTGGTGGGCGACTACGGACTGCGCTGGTCGATCAGGCGTGGTTGCCCGGTCGACCGGGATACCCGGGCGACGTGCGCGAGTGTCGCCGGGGTGGAGTCTGCGAGGCCGACCTCGGGGGTGGTATCCCGAGGTCGACGTGGCTGGTGGGCGCAGTCGCTGCTGGCGTGGAGTCTGCGAGGCGTCTGCGCTGTGCTCGTGACAAGGTGTGGAGCACCAACCAGCTGCGCGCACCTGCGAAGCAGATGCACCGTTGTCCTGCGGGTGCAACGCTGTGCAGCCGACTTCCTGCAGCGTTGGCACACCATGGACTTGCAACGTTGGCGCACCGCTACTCTGCAACGCTAGAGCGGTGCGAGCACTGCTGCGCTGGAGCACGGTCGACCATGCTGCGCTGGAGGTCGACCAGAAGCCTAGCTAGCTCTGATGTAGTCTGTGTTGCCAATGTTGTTGCTAATCATTGTTCTGAACTTTTCCTAGTGGAACTCTTGCCAACCTTCCCCGTGAACTAGCAAGTGTGTGCGCACAAGGAAACGACTAAGGAACGAACGAACGCAGAGATCACACGAGCACCCGTGCCTAACCCGTAGCCTAGCTCCCATTGCTAAAGTTATCTCTGCATGGTGCGGTGAGCGTGGACGGCACCGCGACGTAGTTCAGTCTAGCCAACTTTGCACCAACCGTGTTCGTAGGCCGGCAGCCGTGCAGTCACTAGCGTGCGCGTAGGTGACGCCGAGGTGATGGACACCCTGGAGGCACAGCTGGAGGATGCGAGGAGACGCCATGAGGCCCAGGAGTACGGGGCGATACCCTGGGCAGTCGTCGAGGCAGGACTCCGCTCTGTGTGGGCGGCGGAGCACCCCCCTTCTCGACCAGCCTCTCCTCGACCGGTGAACAACGATGGCGGCGTCGACGTGGGCGTCAACGCCGGTGGAGGCCAAGTCGGCAGCAGTGCGGGAGGCACGTCGAGGCAGCGGGGTGTGATACACGCTGGTGAAGCCGGCAGCGTTCAGGCGTAGAAGGGGTGTACGGGTTCATGGCGAGTTTCACCCAGGCGGCGCTCTTTCTCTCCTCCCTCGCGCTAGAACCAAACAACGCCTTGATCCAAGCTCGGAATCACATGCTCCTGCCACGGGACGATACCACACCACTACACACATGGCTTACCGAGTGCGAAGCTGCATTGCCATGGGATGCGCGGGAGATCCTGGAGAAGGAGCGACTGAAACGGTCGGATGTTCGGCTACAACACGTACTCGGCCTGAAGGTCCACGGAAGCAGATACGCCGTGCAGGTGCAGGGCACAAGGCGCATGAAGCCGAACCCCCTCTCAGGCCACACGCAGCGGATGTTCTCGCTGACGGGATACGGCACCGGTGACTGGCTGACCGCGATCCCCATTGCCCCAAACAGACGGATAGGATCAGTACACTTCGCCAACTCCGTGCGCTTTCGGCTCGGGCTCCCGTTTTCAACGCCAAAGAACTGCGACTGCTCTGACCACACAGCTATCACCGACCCACGCCTCCCAAATCACCTCTTCCGCTGCGGCACGGGCAAGCACCGCATTAACACCCACAACGAGCTGCGGGACGCATGCATTAGCATGGCGCAGGATGCGGGGTTTATAGTTCACAGCGAGTCGGCCGCCCACTGCCCCATCGAAGAACAGACGGCCGATTTCACCATGACAGATAGAAGCAGCGGGGCGGTCTATGTCTGTGATGTTACCATCACGGACCCCATCAGCACAAGGGACCCTGAGGCACAAAAAGGCAGGGGGTGGGCGGCACGAGAGCAGGCCGACAAAAAGATGAAGCATTACGCAAACCGACCGGAGACGGTTGGCTTCTTCCCTATGGCTGTGGAAACCTACGGCTGCCCATGCGCCGAGGTACCAGTTCTCTTGAAGCTCTTGGCAGACACGGCGTCTCGGCGCCACTTCAACGCCGACTCTAAATCCTTTCATGCCGCTAAGTTTCTGCACCAGTTCAGACAGAGATGGTCGGTGGCCCTTCAGAGGGCCCAATCTGTGGGCCTCCTACTCAAGCTAGGTGAGGCGGCAGCAGCAGAGAACCCGCCTGTAGGCGATATTGGGCAGGAGCTGAACCTAGGGGACTGTTTTGCGGTGGTCGAGCCCTTCCTGGAGCTCTAGAGGAGGTAGTCGGTAGGATTTGTTGCTTTGCTTGTTTGTTACCTATGCCTCTATAACTTGCATGCTTGTACTTTGCTGCTATATCAATACAAGGACTGCTTGAGAGAGAGATAGAGAGAGAGAGAGAGAGAGAGAGAGAGAGAGAGAGAGAGAGAGAGAGAGAGAGAGAGAGAGAGAGAGACAGGGAGAGAGAGAAAGAGGCCTCATCGGTCGACCCCTCCTCCCTGCCGCCGGGCATCCCCATCTCACGAGAAGGCATGCAGATACTAGGCAGCCCCATCGGCACTCCCCAGGGCTACGGCAGCGCGGTTAGAGGGAAGCTTGAGACAGCAGCGGAACCGCTCCCCCTCCTGGCGCAAATGGACCCCCAACTCAGCCTCCTCCTCCTCACTCGCCGCGTCAGCCGCCGCGCCTCCTTCCTAGCAAGGACAACACCTTTGGAGGTGCTGCCCGACGCGGAGTGGTCTGCATGGGGAGAGCAGCTGCTTCTTACCTTCCTGGAGGCGGCCCACATCGTAACACCAAGAAGTGAAGCGGAGAGGAGGCGGATCTGGCGGCAAGCGGCGCTACCAGTGACACTAGGTGGGCTGGGCATCACCGACCCCGCTGTTGAAGGGAGCTACGCCTACCTCGCATCGGTGATTGGAGCTTCGCACCTCCTGCACTCTCTGACTGACACCCTGCACCCCGCTGTAGCTGCCCCCCTCCCCCTAATGGACTCCCTCCCCGGGTCCGCTCACGCCTTACCCACGCGTCTCACAGCAGCCGAAGCAGCCCCCCCCCCAGAGGCACTGGAGGCCCTCCAGGCGGGGAAAGGGGACCCCAAAAGCCTCAAGCTGCAACAGTCGCACGCATTAGCTGTCCACACGCGCCGCTTCCTGAGGGTTATGAACGAGGCAAGGCGGATGCGCCCCAATCCCCTCTCTGGTCACGCCCAGCGGATGCAGTCGGTGCTGGGCCCTGGAGCGGGGGACTGGCTGCTGGCGATTCCCCTCATCCCCCCGCTCCGGATGGGCCCCTCTCAGCTCTCAACCACAGCTGCCTTCCGCCTAGGCCTCCCCCTACCCGTGCCTAGGCGCTGTGACTGCCGATACCGCACCACTTTCCCTGATGACCGCCTCCCCAACCACCTCATGCGCTCCGAGAAAGGGAGAGGGAGGATCGCTACTCACCACGCTCTTCAGGATGAGATAGCCAACATAGGGGCAGAGGCGGGCTTCACGGTGCACAAGGAATCATACATCTCCTCTCTCGTTGAAAACCTAAAGGCAGATGTTACAATCCGCCATCCCCTGGCGGGAGGTAATGCAGCATCTGCGTAGATGCCGACACTGCCGCTGATTGCTCTGACGGCAACATCCCCCCCGATCTCAACGCCCTGCCGCGCCAAGCACACATGCAGCTGGTCGAGGATGTATGACAGAAGCGTCAGGCAAGTCCCCACGTGCATCACGTGCTGCTCGACGCGAAGAAGCCGCTCGACAGGAGGACACTCACCCCACAGACTCTAGCGCACTTCCGGAACCACAGAACGGGGATTCGGCAGGGCGGGAGGTGTCATCTGGTCCCAAGGAATCGACGCCTGGCGGAAGCCATAGAGGAGTCGGGGGTTTGAGCCCGCAGCAGGATCAGCCTGAAAGGTTGGGGTGCGTGGAGGAGGCGACGGAGGAACATGAGACGTCGTGGGGCGAGGCGGCTGCGGCTGCGGTGCCAGTGGAAAACGACGCACCGGTGACGGAGTCGGAGGTTGCTGCGGTAGCTGAGGCTGCGGGTGCTGCGGTGCCGAAGGTGGTTGCTGCTGCTGCTACTGTGGCGGCGGCCGTGGTGGCTCCGGTGTCTGTTGGCGGGCTTGACGCTGCCTTTGGCAGCGGCTCAGCTTCACCTTCTGCCATCCCCCAGGTGGTGCAACCTCATACCGAGGAGCCAGGAATGGCAGCGGGCCTGGAACAGACCGAGGAGGCGGCACTGTCGGCGTCACCGGCGCCTGTAACGGCGGCTGTGCTGGCTGCGGCGGTGACTGCGGCGGTAGGGGAACAGGACGGAGACCAGGTCGAGGAGGATGTGCCGACTGCTGCTGCGAGCGCCAGAACGTCTGCTGCTGCCAAGGGTGCAAGCACGCAGGGGCGCGGCCAGGGGGGGAGCAATAGACGGGGTTACGGACCCGGCGTGGCTGCCTGCGCCGCCCGCGGAAAGGCACGGAAGAAGCTTCGAGCCCAGCCAGCACCGAGGCGGCCCGGAGCAGGGCTGGGACCTGGTCCCCCGGGACCCCTCCTGGGCTGGCTTCTGCAAGGGCAGTTGCCACGAGTGCAAGAGCGTCAACTGCCATCTGTGGGGACAAGCAGCAAAGGCATGGAGGCAGAGAACGGTATTAGGCAAGCAACCACAGCAAACAACACGACAGGAGACGCAGCGGCAGGAACATCAACGCAATAAACTCCCCGCCGCGAAACACGGAGCTCGACACGCGCTCAGGGGATTACCTGGGGTCAGCCGCGAGGTCACCAAACAGGCGTGGCTAACACGCCGTGGATCCCGGCAGGAAGAGCGCCACAAGCCGGGCACGGCAGACGAAACACCGATCATCTGGGTAGGGGAGGCGCAACGGCAGGCGCGGGGAGAGGCGGAGGCGCAACGGCAGGCGCGGGGAGAGGCGGAGGCGCAATCGTTGGTGGAAGAGAGACGCTCCTGAGATTGGGAACGTCGCGGGAATGCCACGATCGCCCTGAACAGGTGGCAGATCCAACAACTCAGAACGAAGCAGATACTGAAAGGAGTGAGGACGGGGAGGATTGTGTAGCTACGGCCTCAGTACCCTCGGAAGAAATCTCGCTGGAAGAGGAGGGAGAGGGGACGACGAGAGGGGAGCGAGGACGACGGGAAGAAAGGAGAAACCCTCGGGAGGAGAGAGAGAACGTGGACGCACCAAATGAGGGACAGGGTGACTCAGGAGCCACATCACCGTCTGACCTCGCGGACGATTCTGCCATCTGGGAGCAGGCAGCTACGTGGGACAAATACCCACTCCAAAAAGGGGATCAACCCTTCGTGGTACGCAGAATGCCGCCCAAGATCCTGGAAAGCTACACGTTCTGCCTTCTGGCGCCACTCATCCGACTCTAAAAAAATCCAGACTGTCCTGGGGCATGGGCGATCCTACAGTATCTAACGAGGCTGACGCTACGTCCGGCACCTGAACCTGTTAAAGGCAGTCGGTGGACAGCAATAGAGCTACGCCTGCACCAGTTCCAACTCGGATGGGCGGCTTTCTTCAACGCTCTCTCCCAGTCCAGTTTGCTGCAGCTCATGTCATTGGTCAGAACCCTCTACAGGGCACCATCGCATCTCCTGGTGGACGAGCGGTTAGGAGTGAATCACATCCTCTCGTCACGCGGTGTGCGTCAAGGGGACCCACAGGGTCCACTACTCTTCGTAGCACAAGCATTACGCCAACCGACCAGAGACGGTTGGCTTCTTCCCACTGGCGGTAGAAACTTACGGCTGCCCATGCGCCGAGGTACCAGTCTTCCTTAAGCTCTTAGCAGACACGGCGGCTCGGCGCCACTTTAACGCCGATTCTAAATCCTTTCATGCCGCCAAGTTCCTGCATAAGTTCAGGCAGAGATGGTCAGTGGCCCTTCAGAGGGCCCAATCCGTAGGTCTCCTACTCAAGTTGGGCGAGGCGGCAGCAGCAGAGAACCCGCATGTAGGAGGTATAGGGCAAGAACTGAACCTGGGGGACTGCTTTGCAGTGGTTGAGCCTTTTCTGGAGCTCTAAAGGGTGTAGTGGGTAGGATTTGTTGCTTTGCATGCTTGTTCTGGGTTGTCCTCTCGAGGAGCATATCCCGCCGGATCTCCTACTTGCTGCGGACGACACCGGCGGAAGTCTTGAAGAGAGAGGGATGGAGGGGCTGGAGTGAGACCCTGATGGCGGCGGCACTAGCAGCGGCGAAGCTTCAGGTACCTGTAAACGAGCTGGAGAGGAGTCTGTTGTGGCGCCAGGGGACTCTACCGGTCAGGGGGGGGGACTGGGGATCATTGACCCCATCTCGGAGGCACCTGCTGCCTACATCGCCTCAGTCACGGCGGCGCAGCAGCTGCTGCGGCAGATGAACCTACATGAGGCCTACCTCTTGAGCAGGGCGGTCGAGTTACTGAACCACGAGTGGACCCTGACCCACCCGGTGTCAACCCCCTGACAAATCTGGAAGCAGTGCTGCCTATAGCTGCAAGGGCGGCACTACACACTTACAGGGAGCAGCCGGCTGGGCAGGGGAACCTTCAACTGACCTTGTCTCGCCACATCAATGAGACACGGGCTGCGGAGCTGCTGGCTGACACAATAGAGGACCGCCCCGGGAAGGACCGTGGGCACGCTGTACGGCTCATCAGTCTGCAAGGGGTGGGAGCGGGGGACTGGCTCCATGCCATCCCAACTAGATCTGACCTTACATTCGCCCCTGGTCAGTTCTCGTTGGCACTTGGCTTCCGCCTCAGTATGTCCCTTCCAGTCACAGTGACCTGCCCGTGCAAGCAGGACAACACAGCTATCACAGACACGAGCCTAGCGAACCACCTCTTGCGGTGTGGGTACGGGGGAGATGTCATCCGCACACACAATGCTCTGGTGTACGCCCTGCTCCGGATGGCAAAGGAGGCCAACTTCACTGTTTTCCACGAAACCACCGCCTTCTCCCCACCGGTGATAAGGAAGAGAGGAGATCTTGACAGACGAGACAAGGAGTCGAATGAGACCTGGGTCACGGATGTGACAGTGACTGACCCAGTGCTGCACTGCCGCGAAAAACGCGCCCGGAAACCACCTGGATGGGCGACAAGGGAAGCTTCAGAGAAGAAACACAGGATCTATGAGGGGCGGCCTGATTATGTGGGATTCTTTGGGTTGGCACTGGAGACGTACGTTGCCCTAGCTACGGATACACAGCAGTTCATTCGCATGCTAGCAACCTCGGCGGCAAAAAGGAGGTTCCGCCAGGGGAAGCTCACCACCACCACTCCACGGCTCACCGCTCACTACAGGCAGCGCTTTAGTGTCATGCTCCAGCGCTCACAGGCCACGTCATTCCTGAACAAGTCAAACATAGGGGACGTGGCAGCCTTCTCACAGACGGCTAGGGACCCCTGGGAACCTAGCCTAAAGGACCTCTGGCAAGTCCTCGAGGATGAGATGGAAGGGTTGATGGGTCAGTAAGCAGGATAGCCGTGGGATAGGTCTCTAGCTGCAGGTTAGCCACCTGCATTGCCAGTTTTGCCTTGTATTGCCTACCTTGCCTTGCTTGCCGTGCTTTGTTTGGCCTTGCCTTGTCTGCCTGCCTTGCCTGGTATGCCCTGCCTTCCACCTCTGCCCTCTCCCTATAGCCCTCTGCCCTCTCCCTTGTGAGCTATATAAGAGGCCTCTCTGGGCCTCTGTTGGTGCAACCCTACGGTTTGCACTCGGCTTGTTGTCCGTGTGCGTGAATGTGTGTGTGTATGGAATGGTATGAGGGCATGGGATAATATATATTTCATGCTTATAATTGTGTGTGAATGTTGAGTCATGATGTCGAGTGTGTGTGTCGAGTCAATAGCGAGTTATCGCTAGACGCGTGTTACGCGGTCGTTTGTGTCTCGCGCGCGGTTTCTATTTTGTCGTGCGCGGTTTCTATTTTGTCCTGTGTCGAACGTTCGGCGTGTCGCAGGTGTGTGCAGCAGACCCATCAAGAACTCAAGGATGAGTTTGTGATGAAGAGCCCGAGCCTTGGTGTCAAGCCTCAAGTGATTTCGAAGCTTGCCAAAAGGGTACACCTCAAGATATTGAAGATAGTTACATTACTTTGTGTAGTGTAACATTTCACTTGGTGTAGGCCCTAGTGAAGGGTAGTTTCGAGACCCTTCGTGGTTGGGGACAGTGTGGCACTGTTCCACATCACTGTACCTCGGCTCTTGGGGTTTGTAGGAGCTGGGAGTCATTCCCAACTCGTAACTCTTCCTATCTTGTGTTCTAAGACTATAGTGGCTGCCATAGTACCGTTCGTTCAAACCGACGCTGTGTCGTCAATTCTTTATCAAATCGTGCAATCTAAATTGCTAATTGTAGACGACGTGAAGACGCTCCAGATCCAATTTGAATCAAGTCATTTGCAGCTGTGAGCAGAACGCTATCAACGTTTGAAGCCGCTGTGCAGAAATCCGTCTGTGCTCTCTATCTTTCGTTTTAGGCACATTCAAGCCTATTGTGACTATAACAGCCTCTTCATCTCATTGTTCGGTGTGGTGCAGATTTTTTCGGGACCCCTCCTGGGCTGGCTTCTGCAAGGGCAGCCGCCACAAGCGCGAGGGCATCCACCTCCATTGGGAGACCTACGGACCGAGGATAACAATGGGGAGGGGAGCGTCAGGCGTGCAAGTGCGTCGGGGGGAGAGGAAATAACAAACACGGCAGCCGTTACACCTCAGCAAACTCCTCAGCGGGAAACACGCAGCTCAACGAGAGCACAAGGCATTACCTGGGGCCAGCCAAGGAGCGACCAGGCAACACCGATGCTGGCGCCCATGCAACCAAGTCTTGGCCCACCTAGGGATGAGCCTAGGGTGTTTGGGCTTGACAAGTTCAACGGTGACAACTTTGCTGAATGGTCCTTCAAGATGGAGAACATCTTTGACCACTATGACCTGCTGGAGGTGATGGAAGGAACGGAGAAGCGCCCCGAGAACGACCCGGAGAAGAGCCCGTGGGTGCGGAAGAGCGCACAAGGCTATCTCTTACTTGGGCAAGCGTTGGGGAGCAGTCAGATCCGTCACATCAAGCCATTCCAGCGTGAACCAGAGAAAGGACCAAAGGCATGGGCTGCTCTCAAGGGTGTACATGCTCCTGCAACAGCGGCGGTAGCGGTGGTGTTGGAACGGCAAATGGCGGCACTACGAATTGAAGAAGACGAAGCGGTTGAAGAAGGGGTGCAGAAATTCTTCGACTTGTTGACGCGGCTTGAGGGAGCTGATTTGAACTACAGTGAGCTCCAAAAGAAGACCAAGTTGCTGGCCTTACTCCCAGAGTCATGGTCCTCGCTCATCATCAACCTTAATCGCGACTTGCCCCGCCTCTCGCTTGAAGACGTGAAGCGAGCTATCCTTCAAGAGGATTTCCGCCGCCGTGAGTTGGCGAGTGCGGATGGCGCTGGGGCAGCGAGCATCGGCCGTGGATATGGTCGAGGAAGAGGTAGAGGACGAGGGGGAGGAAGGTTTGGTGGCAGCAACTTCGGCGGAGGTCGCAGGAGTGGCGGTTACGGCAGCGACGACAAGAGCTACGGACGCGGTCGCGGCCGATTCGACGGCGAGTGTCACTATTGCCACAAGAGCGGACACATGTGGCGCGACTGCTACAAACTCCCTGATGGTTGGACCCCTGCTCAAGGCCAAGAGGGTAGAGGAGCAGGAGG